TCAGATAGGCAGTTTAAACCAAACAGAAAGGCATTTAGGTGGATATTTTAGTATTCCGACACAGCGAACAGATAATGGTGATCGTCTGCTGCAGCTATGCTCAGACAATCGTTTATTTTTAGCAAACACAAATTTTAAGCATAAGGAGAGACATCGTCTAACATGGCGACCCCCTACACCAAACCAACGATGGACTCAAATAGACCATATTGCCATCAGTCATCGTAAGAGAGGGTCGGTAGAAGATTGTCGCTCATTCTGGAGTACCTGCTTGGACTCCGACCATGCCCTAATACGGGCACGCATCTGCTTGCGCCTCACTGGACGCAAAAAAGCAACATTAAAAAGACCCATTAGAACTGAATTGAGTAACGAGAAAACCAAAAATAGGTTCCAAGAATAACTGAGTTCACAATTAGGTAGTTGTGAAGACGAGGCTGACCCAGATGTTGCTAGGAAAGACATACAAGCAGCTGTGGAAACAGCAGTGACATCTATTAGCGACTTAAACCACAGAGTTACAAAGAACCATTGGATTTCTTCAAAGCCTATCACACTGATGGATTCTCGCAAACTCGTCCCATCAAGTTTCGAACATGAAGAGCGACAAAAAATCAGATCTAGGTTAAGAAAAAGTCTAAGGAACGACCGTGAGCAGTGGTGGGCAATGAAAACAAAAGAGATGGAAAAGGCGGCGACTATAGGGAACACAAGACAGCTTTACAGACTAATAAAAGAAACGAATTAATAAGTCAAGTGTAAGTGAGATTATATCGGAAAAAGACGATACTCTCATCTGCTCCTAGTCCAGACGTTTAGAACGATGGGCGGAACATTTCAGAGAACAGTTCAACTGGCCTTCAGCTACTGTACAACTACCCTCCATTCCCAGACAGCGTGAATGGAACATTGAAGTAGGTCCCCCAACTCTTGCTGAAGTTCAAAAGGCTATATTTAATCTGAAACGAGGAAGGGCAGCTGGTCCAGATGGACTGGCTCCAGAGGTCTTTAAGGATGGTGGCCCAATTTTAGCGATTAGGTTGACTAATATTTTAGCTAAGATCTGGGAATTAGACTTTATCCCATCTGACTGGTCGCAATCACTTATCGTCCCAATATATAAGAAAGGGTCAAAATCATCGTGTGACAACCACAGAGGGATTAGTTTAACTATTATAATATCTAAAATACTAGCCTCGATAATTATCAAACGCCTAACTAAGACGCGTGAACTGCAAACACGAGAAAACAAAGCTGGCTTCAGACCTGGTCGTGGCTGCATCGACCACATATTCACCATTCGTCAGGTTCTAGAACACAGGCATACCTATCGGCGTCCGACGATGGTGGTCTTCTTGACTTAAAAGCAGCATTTGACTCGGTAGACCGCGAGATTCTGTGGCAGTGTCTGTCATTGAAAGGCGTACCTCAGAAGTACATAAACCTTGTGAAGGCTCTTTACTCGAACACTACTAGTCGAGTCAGGGCTTATGGCGAACTGTCATCTACTTTTGCAACCTCAAGTGGTGTCCGTCAAGGCTGTCCACTTTCTCCATTTTTGTTTAACTTCATCATAGATCTACTGATGGAAATAACTTTCTCGTCAACTGAGTTCTCGGGTATTGATCTCCATCCAGGAGGTCCACTTATCGACTTAGAATACGCAGATGACATAGTCCTGTTTGGCGAAGACGCTGACAAAATGCAGAGTCTTCTGGTAGCACTAAGCAACAATGCCAGAATGTTTGGAATGCGCTTCTCTCCCTCTAAATGCAAGTTGTTGCTTCAGGACTGGTCTGCGTTAACACCTGAACTAAGGATAGGGAGTGAAGTAGTCGAACGCGTTGACAACTTCACTTATCTTGGAAGTCTGATCAGCCCTAATGGGTTGGTGTCTGACGAAATCTCAGCACGGATTCGAAAAGCTCGTTTGGCTTTTGCCAACTTACGTCACCTTTGGCGGAGGCGAGATATCCGTCTATCAATAAAAGGACGAGTATACTGTGCGGCAGTTCGTTCTGTTTTAATTTACGGCAGCGAAACATGGCCATCAAGGGTAGAAGACACTCGCAAGCTACTAGTATTTGATCACAGATGCCTTAGAAATATTGCTGGCGTCTGCTGGGATCACCGGGTAAATAATAGTGAGGTTAGATGCAGGGTATTAGGAAATGATGGTAAATCAGTTGATGAGGTTATGAATCTTCATCGACTGAGATGGTTGGGCCACGTGTTACGTATGCCTAAATACCGATTACCACGACGTGCAATGCTATCCGGTATTGGAGATGGTTGGAAGAAAGTTAGGGGCGGCCAAACCAAAACGTGGCATCAGTGCTTGAAGTCACTAACTTCTAGTCTGAGCCATGTTAGTAGATGCAGACTACTTGGTTGGTGTCCGCGTGACTTTCGTAACCAATGGTTGGAGACTCTTGGTGACATGGCTCAGAATCGATCACAATGGCGTCGGTGTATACACTCCGTCTTCCCTTAAACTAAGAGATTAAAATCGCCTAATACCTTTCTTTCTACGAACCAATTTTTTCTTCTTGTACTATATCTCTATATGCAATCTTTCTCTTATATATTACCACCTTTGACCTAACCACTGCTATGAATCCGGTGTTCATCTTGTTGTGCTGATGCGGTATGGCAACCTGGACCGATGTACATGTGCCTGGTCCTACGTTGTAGCTGACTGACTGAGGCGTTAGCGATCCGCCAATTCAAGCGTGAACTCTGTGTTCAAAGACGATACATCCAGCCTCTCTTCCTTTCTTGGCTCTAATTCTCTTTTGTAGTTTGTTTTAGTCTCTTTTTATTAATGTTTCGCAATCCTAAACCTTGATCAGTTATTATTATCCCTTAACAATTTTTCATGATTATACTCCAATTATTGTTATGACGTTTATGTTTTCCGTTATTCTTCACATCTGTAAAGTGGACAACTCTCTTCCATAATTCTGACCCGTACATTATCTTCATTATCTGCTTCTCTAACCCCCTGATTATTACGTCACCTCACTTGAATTTCGAATCAATTTTTCCTATCCTTCTACATACATATATTCACGACACAATCATAAATACGAGTGTACAGTTTAATTAAGTGATTTCATCCAAAAGGAAATCTTCGCGGGATTCTATTTATTTTTATTTAGAGACACAATGTGTTATTTTAATTGTATTAGTGAAAATGGAAAATTTTTAATATAAAGGTTATCGTCCAAACAAATGTGAACTAGTGAGGAAAATGTTAGGATTAAAAGGACAACAAGGAGTGGATAAATCTGCATTAATACCAACGATCTTGAACCATGTTACCCAAAGTCTTTAAACATGAGTTACGATAATCACTGGGACCTCAACTAGTTAGTCTGCACCTGCTTACATAACTCAGTCCAGCCTAGTCCTACATCAGCCATCATCGTGCGTCGATGCAGTCAGTAGATGAGAATGCTTAATACATGTCCTAGCCATCTCAATCAACAAAGGTTCATCACTGCCTCATCAACCGATTTGTAATATCTAGTACTCAGAAGTGCTAGCTCGATGGTCCCCAAGTATACGAGAAGTGCTATAATCGAATACTATTTTAATGACTATATGTAGATTTGAAGGTCCTGTCCTAAATACAGAGAGCACAGCGGACTGCTGCCGCCACGAGAAACGGTCCGTTCTACTAATAGCTCGACAATAGCACTTCCTCTAAAAAAGAAAACCATGCATGTTTAATTGAATATTTATGGATGAATCAAAGCCATTTCCCTGAGGTTTCTGTAGAATTCCTCTCATTTTGATACATATATGTGCCGTGATATGTTTAAAGTCACCATATGAGTTGCTAACAAGGATTCAAGTTGTAAAGGCCCATAGATCATTACAAAATAATGTTTACGAAATACACTGGTAAGAACGGCGGTCGATTAATTATCCTAAATTACAAGAATGCAGTATTCGTTTTGTGTTTACGATATTTCCCAGCAAACGTATTACAGTGATGCGTTTAGATATTGTATACTTTAATTAGATGTAATTATTCACCTACCATTTCCCGATCGAGAAAATTATATTCAAAGAGACGAGAAAAAAGTTGGCTTCACTATGCATTGTAACAAAGGGCAGTTCCCTTATGTTATCTAAGATCTCAGTTACGCGCTGTCTAAGTGTAATACTTTTTTAAAGTCATGAGTGGGGTCGAGTAAATATACAATCGCAAAATATACTGAACACCGACCATGAAACTATTCAAGTGAAATAACAGTATACCAAAAGCATTTATGCTGACTGGGTTACAAATGATGGAAATTTAAGATAACTCCATCAACAACCTCTCTCACTTGACTATTGATAAAGCTTGATTCCTGCCATCTTAGTTTATGTAATCATTAACGTTAATACTCTCACATGTTTTTATGTCATTTAAGATTATTTGTCTGAAAAGGGTCGATAATTTTATAATACAGATATTTCACGATACAATCAGTCACCACATTTCTATTCGTTAGTCTCTATACAACGATAACTGCTAAATTGAGTACATTTTTAAAAAATTGTTGAATACTAGCTGCTCTGCTTTTTGACTGCGAAGTGTATATTTATCCATATTTTCTTCCTTGTGTCTAGCTTTGTATGCTTATGGGTAATCAACAGCCAAAGTGCTGCACTGCGTCCAGTTGGGGGGAAAGAATCCCATTACGCTGAAGTCATTGAAAGCTGAGTTACTAAGTAATAAATAATTACTGACTTAAGTCCCTTCTGCTAAGAAACTGCTCGTTACATTTATGTAAAATATACGACAGTGGGAACACCAAATAACTGACAATTTACGCATGACCATTTCGTGACCTCATTCTGGTCACAATTTAAAAATCGATAGTCAGTGCTGTTGAAATTCTCAAAGTTACATTAGTTATCACTACTAATTAACGGACAACTTTAGAAGATAAAATAATAAATCAGCGGAATAATGTTTCTTGTTGGGCAAAAGTTTGCGAATGTTACGATCGAGGTCTATTAGCATAGTGAAGATTATGTCTGAAAGGAAAAGTAAATTAAATATTCACTATAAAATATGTATTGGATGCAAAGTATTAAATCATTTTCACATATGAGAAAAAAACAAAACCTAGTCCTAATTTACCTATGTGATGGAATCCCGAGATACGCTACAGATAGATCTGAAATACTGTGGAAGTCAGGTGAAGTTCTGTTCCCAAAAGACAAAATCTCAGCAAAATATCCGGATCATCACCCAACACGATAGCGAGACCATCACACATCCATGAGGACTATGGCGATTCGACAAACGTCTAAGGCAGTTATTCAGTAACCGATTGCGCCATCAAACATTTCGATTGACGGAGTTTAACAACGCCTTTAAATGGAGGAACATGACATTATAATTTAAAACATCTTGGTATGAGAAATTCGGGTGCAAAGACCCAACTTGACTTGAGAACAATCTTTGGAAGTTTGTCAATCAAGAGCTTCAATTAGGGGCCGAAGCCACTTTGAATCCGACTAGACTTGCATTATAGATGTTGGTTTCTAGTCACGTACGTGATAAGATGTGGTGTTTGGATGAACTAGTGATTCCTTTGTACTTGTTGAATGCTTGATTTCGAATTTCAAATACAGTACATTCGTTCGTGTTTATCTATTACTTCTTGATCCGATTACGTTATTTCTGGAATTCTTAGTTCGTACTATAATTCAAATACTCCTAATCATCATATTGGCATCGTGATTGAGCCCGTGATGGAACGGTTGGACATACATTCAGATTTTGATGCTTTTGAGGATTACCTTGAAAGGCTCAAAATCTGGGCTATGACCAAGGAAGATGATGAGGATGTTAATATTGTAACACATTTCTTTACATTCATCGGAAAAGAAGCATATAGCTTATTAAAGACTCTGGCTTTACCGGAAAAGCCCATTTCGCTTCCTTATACAACTCTTAAGGATCTACTGCTAGACTATGTTAAGTATACAAATTTCGAATGTGGTAAAGGAGGAAGATTCCGTAAAATGATTCATGAGGATATAAAAAATTCCACTGCATTACGTTATCCCAACCCAGTGCACACTCGAGGCTATGCAGATAATTCATTGAGGAGTTGCGATGCACTTCACGAAGATCGGCACAAGTTTGGTCAATGCTTGTCCTGTCGCAGGTTCCACTTTTTTAATTCATGTAAATTTCGTAATTCTAAGTGCTCTAAATGTGGTGATATTGGACATATTCAGTCAGTTTGTAATACTAATGTTCATCTTACTGCAACTAATATTAAGTCTTGTAATTCTGGTTCTACTGAGTCGAGTATTCATAATGATCATTTATCTTTATCAACGATTTTAAAAGACAGTGTAGAGTCATATAGCAGTTCGGAGTTAAATGAAACTCAGAATCCTTGTGAGACAACGGTTTCTAATCAATCAATTTGTCAGAATTCTCATGTTATTGTACCAGGTATGGCTTTTCCTGATGATTCACATATTTCTGATCGAAAACCTGATGTAGTTTTGATAGATGCTAATTTTTCTAATGATCCTTTACTCTGTAATGACATTCTTAAAAATTTGAGGAAACTATTTCAGAAGAATCAAATCTTGATGTCATATCAAATATTATTTGTCCTCATAGTGCATTTGTTTCTTGTGGGAAACTTGTTCAGTGCGAAGCACAAGTACTAAATGAACTCGAGTTTGATTACAATTCGGATGATTTCATATCAACTGCTGTTTATCCTTATCACAAAAACACTTCTAATGTTTACGCTAACCAATATGAGAAATATGTTTTAAATGAGGCCACGTCATTCATAAATTGTGGATATAAGGATCCAACAGTATTTCGTGGGGGAGGATAGTCTAAAAGTCTATGGTTCAAATTCTAGGTAGCAGCGGTTTCAGCACACAACCGACATGCTGATTACACAATCCTAGGAAGCAGGTGAGCCTGTTCCGATTTCAGTTGTTAATTCTAATACTAATGAGCACATTCTAGATAATACAGAGTCTTTATCCAATACACTGTCGGACAGACACAGGATGAACTTAAGACGTACGATCGATTACAGACATTTAGACTAATTTAAACTGTGGCGGATGTGGTGTTTGAATGAACTAATGATTCCTTTGTACTTGTTGAATGCTTGATTTCGAATTTCAAATACAGTACATTCGTTCGTGCTTATCTAGTACTTCTTGATCCGATTACGTTATATCTGGGATTCTTAGTTCGTACTATAATTCAAATACTTATTATTATCATATAAGATACTAACAAGCGAAAGGTAACTATGCGTGGTTGCAGAGCTTCTTTTTAAATTAGCATTTCCATCGTCCATACCCCCAATGTTAAGGGTTTACCACTAATCTTTCTTACTCAATAGTAGTTTCATCAGGAGCCATACTTTGTAGGCTAGATGTAAGCCTAAGATGCACTTTGTTGCAATTTATTTCAAAGATATCCCAAATTGTGTTTATCAATGAGACCAACTATATACTGGAGATAAACTACAACAATTATTACGTATTCGTGGTACAAGCCTGTAAAACAAATTTAATGTATTCTCTGAGATTAAGTGGCCACCACATTGTCTGTTGTATGAAAAACATTGAACAAACGGAGGCAGTCAGCCTCAGTAAGTCAAGAGGGGATTGTATTTAAACTCTGCCACTCAAGTAGTTCAGGACTTGGAATTTCGAGAAAATAAATATGAATAACTCGATGAAACGAAATCACATGAGACAAAACAATGAAACTAATATACAATCTACATATTGATTCTAACATTGATAATAAAAGTAGGATAAATTAACTTACATTGCATAACTTAGCGACTCCAGCTAAAAAACAGTGAGATAATACATTAATCATCATTAAAAGATAAGTGGATTTTCTTACTGAGTAACAAAATAAACATATTACACTTAAATTCATAGAATGGTATGACGAGAGATAAGATAGAACCGTAAGTTTTACGATTGCTTGTTTTGAGAAAATAATGCAGTGACTGAGTTCGGCGTCTTGATAACTCACTGAGACCTGAACCCCCAACCAAAGAGATTTCAAGAAACAAAACCACCGGGCAACTGAGTTGGTGTATCGGGATTTGGGTATGTAAGTGTATATTAGGATACAAATGCTTCCATTCAACTAAAATAGTGACAGCTACTTGTCAGGTAATAAATGAATGATAGTAACAGTAATTACCAAAAATAATCGAATGACCATAAAAAAGCACTGAGGCGACCTTGGATCCCTTTGACGCCACCTAAAGAAAAAATGCACTTTGCTTCCGACATTTTGCTTCGAAGCAGATCTAACATTTTGAATAGCTGAGTCACATGATCTTCAAAAGCTAACTAGGAAATTTTGATCTACTGACAAATATCAACCCGATACAGTTGCTAATCGCTAGGAAACATAGAGTAATACACCGATCTCACTTGTTTTCACACGGTCCCAAGGCGAGGTAGAAATTAAAAGAACGGGACGTACTTTATGCTACCTTAATATAACTTTTGTTTCGAACAATGGTTGAAAATACACTATATATATATATATATATATATATATATATATATATATATATATATATATATATATATGACAGAAATTTAAAAACTGGTGATATGGTAATAATAAATATAGTTTGCTTACTAAGTGCAGGTCCTACTCAGTGTTTTCTCGAGGGGAGGGTGATGTCTACGAAATTAAAAGGACGAAAAGCGAATGTCCGGCGCTTTAGCCAGGTTGATGGATGCGAAGGATCCACATGGGGGGGTTGAAAAACCCTGATTCAAAACCAGTGGTGTACATGGGCTCCAGGATCCTGATGAAATAGAAGGCAAACGAACCTATTGTTGGTCACGGGCTACCATGGAACTGCATCTCCTAACGTTGCTCCACTGCCTTGTGAATTTGACCCCTCAGAAGACCACTTGCTTCTGTCTGTGCGCCCGTGGAATATCCCAGCCCTCACACAGATCATTTGATTTGTGTGGTGCATATATATATATATATATATATATATATATATATGGTGACTTCTTGTACCAATGTTTATGTGTTTAAATAAAAATAAAGAAAACAGGTTCATTTACTTACCACTGAGTCACACTGCTCGTGTGAGGTTACAGTGCTTAACTGCCAAAACTCAAATAGGTGAAACAGTTTAAACTTTTCCATCGATGATTCTTCCTAGTTTTTAGCGACTCAACTTTTTAAGATATTGGGGCAAATTACCTATCTATAACATACTCAGTTTCTAATTGTTTGCTGCATAAACTTTCAGCCAGTGGATTAAATAATGCATTTAATTGATTAAAAAAGACGATAACAGTTACTACCACAAAATTACATGAATAAATAGCACTTAACTCGAAGAACCAAAGAAGATGGAATAAACTGCAATTCATGAACAATTAGATGTAAATCAGTAGTCTAAACGAATTAGAAAGGAGGTACAAATAAAAATGTTATTCCAGTAGGTTTTTAGGCCTGTACAGTTTTAAGAAATGAGATACAAAGGGAATATTAAACATTTCCCTGATTAAAGACACAACAGATAAGACAAGGAACCATGATGCAATAAAATATCTGAATGGTGAATCCTGAAGATCACTAATAATTAGCACGGCAAAGAATTCTATAAGTTCAATAAGGAAGTCCTAATATCGCATTATGTATGAAGAAAAATGGTTAAGATATATAACAAAAAAATAGCAGTTAGGATGAATAGAGAAGTACAATCAAAAGACGGTTACGTTTAAGCTAAAACAGTAAGTCGTATAAGACATAGAATGCACACATACTTACTCGTGTGACTAGTGCATCAATATTTGCCTTTGTAGTCTTCCGACCTTCATCCGTTAAAAGTCTAAAAGAATAATTTCGACAAAAGTTAATTACGCTCTAACAGGACGCCGCGCGAGAGTTGAGCCTGTTTCGAGGATCGACATCATTTTCCTATCTTGCTCAAAATGCAATCGCATAAGTTCTTCTTGCTGATTTCGTATTGAGTCAAGTTTTTCATAAGGACAATTTGGACCTACACTTTTACTGAATAAGAGTGACAGTTCATTACCAAACGATGATTTCCCAGCGTTAAATTCATCCAACAACTTTAAAAGACGAGCTTCCATACGTTGTACATCATCTACATGGATAGCAGGTGCACTATCTTGATTGGCTGAATCATTGTCTGGTTAAAATATACTTCAGAAATAAGAATAACATACTGCAATCATCACTGTTAGGAAACATATTCTGTTCAAGAGACATCAACTCCATTTACCTGAATTAAGAATACTTTCAAGTAAACAAAGTTATATAAATATAGCCTATTTTGATCTCCATCCAGGAGGTCCACTTATCGACTTAGAATACGCAGATGACATAGTCCTGTTTGGTGAAGACGCTGACAAAATGCAGAGTCTTCTGGTAGCACTAAGCAACAATGCCAGAATGTTTGGAATGCGCTTCTCTCCCTCTAAATGCAAGTTGTTGCTTCAGGACTGGTCTGCGTTAACACCTGAACTAAGGATAGGGAGTGAAGTAGTCGAACGCGTTGACAACTTCACTTATCTTGGAAGTCTGATCAGCCCTAATGGGTTGGTGTCTGACGAAATCTCAGCACGGATTCGAAAAGCTCGTTTGGCTTTTGCCAACTTACGTCACCTTTGGCGGAGGCGAGATATCCGTCTATCAATAAAAGGACGAGTATACTGTGCGGCAGTTCGTTCTGTTTTAATTTACGGCAGCGAAACATGGCCATCAAGGGTAGAAGACACTCGCAAGCTACTAGTATTTGATCACAGATGCCTTAGAAATATTGCTGGCGTCTGCTGGGATCACCGGGTAAATAATAGTGAGGTTAGATGCAGGGTATTAGGAAATGATGGTAAATCAGTTGATGAGGTTATGAATCTTCATCGACTGAGATGGTTGGGCCACGTGTTACGTATGCCTAAATACCGATTACCACGACGTGCAATGCTATCCGGTATTGGAGATGGTTGGAAGAAAGTTAGGGGCGGCCAAACCAAAACGTGGCATCAGTGCTTGAAGTCACTAACTTCTAGTCTGAGCCATGTTAGTAGATGCAGACTACTTGGTTGGTGTCCGCGTGACTTTCGTAACCAATGGTTGGAGACTCTTGGTGACATGGCTCAGAATCGATCACAATGGCGTCGGTGTATACACTCCGTCTTCCCTTAAACTAAGAGATTAAAATCGCCTAATACCTTTCTTTCTACGAACCAATTTTTTCTTCTTGTACTATATCTCTATATGCAATCTTTCTCTTATATATTACCACCTTTGACCTAACCACTGCTATGAATCCGGTGTTCATCTTGTTGTGCTGATGCGGTATGGCAACCTGGACCGATGCACATATGTGCCTGGTCCTACGTTGTAACTGACTGACTGACTGTCCTTGGACTTTGTCACCCATCATTTAACCTGGTTCGGTGAGAAAAGTCAGAGTGCTTATACATCTTTACCGATGATTAAAGTAGACATCAAGCACAGATCCATGCACTCAGCATGAAACCAGACTTCGTGAGTAACTAGGCTGGCCGGGCACATAAAAAATAATATATGGGGTGGAATTCAGACTTGCAGTGTAAAAGTTGAAATGTGACTGGTTGTTAGCCAATTAGTTCGCTACATCTACATTACCACTAACCAAGTGACACAAGTGAAACAATCAGAGGTTGACATGGGACTAACTAACAAACAGTATAGGTAGTTTAACCAGAATAAACTACCTATAATAGACAGTCATCAACCAGAAACTAATTTTTTTATAGTTGACTGGTCAGAAGAGGTAAAATTGGAAAGTAATAAACTTGGTTTGAGAACTTAGATACTGACTTTTGTGTAATACTTTCTCAAATTTTAAAAAGCCGTAAGGACACAAAAATAAAACAATTAGTCACCAAAAATACGAAATTTGCCGTACTCTGTGCACTGGGAAGACTCAATCTGGTGCTCCTATGGAATTATTGGTGGTACTAAGCACGGGTAAAAAGGGAAGGCTGGGTGTAGAGCTAGAAATTTCAATTTGTACAAAGACCACTACGAAAACACCAGCAAACAAAAATTCAGTTGAAATTTACTCTAAAAATGTAATGGTCGTCACGCAGAGGAGTTACAGAGCCTTGTGGTGAAAGCCAAAATTCTTTGCAAGAGAAGAGATTGACAATCAGGACAATGATAAACATACAAACATGGAATATCTAGACCATATAAGGGACTAGGATGATCATTTAAACAGCACGTGAAATGAGAAGACACAACCTAACCGAATTGAGGACAGGAAAAACTCACTGTACATAGTCTAGACAGAAAAGATTAACGTAATAAGAGAACGCTGTAGTTTGGTCACGAAGGAGAAAATCCTCCGTTGCACTGATCCTGTCCAAAGAACCGCAAAAGCACCCACATAGTTCAAGCCTCAAGGCTTTAGAATTATTAAAGAATCTTTCAAAACAAAGAAGGAAGGAAGACCAGTTCATGCTAGAGAAGTAACCAGGAAAAAATCTGGCGATCCTGATGTGGGATCTAAATGCTAAGGTCAAAATGGACAACGCTGAGTATAAATACATCGAAGGGAAACATGAAATGGAAGAAAGAAATGAGGATAGTGAGAGTGGTAGGTCTGCGTGCTGTCAACAGCATAACCATAGGCAACAGTATTTCTCCCCAAAAAATCATAAGCAAAGTAACATGGGTTCCACCTGACCACACTATTGAAAACCACATTGGTTGCATACACAACATTTTCAACAAACCAAAAGGTGCTGAGCCCCAAAAAGCACAAGCACAATGGATCACCACAGAGTCTGAAAACAATTCAAAATGGTAGGTCATGGAACAGCAGTTAACAGCCGAACAAAATCAGAGAAATCAATGTACAGGATCGATCGAACGAGTAAAGGTTGACACCAGAGATGATAAACGGAAATATGAGGATGACTTGCCAAATACGGTTAAACAAGCCACAAGAGGGAATATACAAGAGAAACTCTAGCAGAGAAGCATAGTAGACTAGACTGACTTGTCAAGAACGAGGAATGAAAAGACGTTAGGAGAGTCTAGTACATTGTGGTAACTACCAAACTGAATTACAAGAAATTTTCTAGCTTAGGATGCTCAAAGTGAAAGGAGGTAAACTAAAGAACGTGTCTCCAGAAGTTGTAGGCCAACATTAAAGCCTTGAATACATTTCAGTAATATTTGGAAAGGACAAACCACGGCCGATTAGTTTGGTGCCTAGTAGGTGCTTGTTGACAGGTCATGAACCATTTAAGCGTGAGTACCAAAACGTCCGTAATATCTGTAAGAAACCCATAGCCAAATTCCGTACCACTTACGAACGACAGTTAGTATATGATAGCCGTACTTGTCCGAAACGATTGTTTTCGTATGTTAAACGGCGAATGAAACGTAGTGATGGTATTCCCCCGTTACTGTCACACGAAAATTCAGAATTACTAGCTGAATCAGATCGAGCAAAAGCTGAGACTTTTTCAAACTATTTTAGCGAAGTCTTCTCTACGTTTATTGTAACAAATACTTGTCCCACTCACACCGAGATACCAACCATTGAATCTGTACAGGTGACTGAGGAAACTGTCCTTCCGTTGATAACTAACCTCAAACCTGGTAAGATACCGGGCCCTGACGGGTTACATCCACGGTTGCTATCATCTCTTGCGGACATTATTTCGAAACCGCTTGCGACACTCTTCAGCATGTCCCTCTCACTCGCTCAACTCCCTAGAGATTGAAAGGACGCTATAGTTAGTCCTATATTTAAGGACGGTCAGCGACAGATAGTATCTAACTACCGGTCTGTTAGTCTAACTAGCATAGTCGTTAAGTTACTTGAAAAGATAATTCGGGTTAGGTTGCTAAGCCACATAGATTTACACAATCTGTTAGCTCCTGAGCAACACGGATTTCGTAACAAGCGTTCCTGCTTGAATAAATTGCTTATTACGAGAGAGAAGTGAACAGCAGCCCTAGATAACGGTCTGTCTGTCGATGTGATATTCATAGATTTTAGCAAAGCATTTGACAAGGTTTCACACGTAGGCCTTATGCAGAAGCTCACGAGCTTCGGAATAATAGGTACTGTACATGAGTGGATATGAAATTTCTTATGTGACCGCAGACAGAGAGTGAGGGCCAACGGAACGCTATCCGACTGGAAGCCGGTCAAAAGTGGTGTACCCCAAGGCACCATCTTAGGCCCTCTGCTCTTCCTTCTCTATGTTAATGAGTTATCGCCGTTACTTAGGTCGTCGACATTATTGTTTACGGACGATGTAAAAATCTGGAGAATAATAAAAAGTGAGGCTGATCATCTAGATCTTCAAGCTGACTTAGACGATTTAGTTAGATGGGCTCGATAGTGGGGCTTAGAAATCAATGCTAAGAAGAGTGTGCTAATGCACATCGGTCACGGTAATACTTATCGTTACACCATTGAGGGTAAACCTCTTCCATGCGTTCAAGAGCATAAAGACTTAGGAGTAGTATCAAGTCATGATTTAAAAACAACTACGCATTGCAAAGCAGCCGCTGTCAAAGGTTTTCGTGCGTTATGGTCACTTCGCCGAGCGTTCAAATCTTTTGCAGGGAAACGTTTCGAATTTTATATCCCATATACGTAAGACCACATTTAGAGTACTGTATCCAAGCAGCTAGCCCGTGTCTGGTACAGGATACTAACTCCCTTGAGCGTGTCCAGCGTGTGGGAACGAAATTAGTGAAGGGTCTTCCTAGACTCCCTTACGATGAGCGTTTAAAACGCCTAAACCTTTTCCCCTTGTTGTATCGTAGGACACGAGGTGACCTTATACTGGCATTTCGTATCTTTAATTATGATTTGGGTGTTAAATATCTTTTTGTTCCCTCCAGCACTAATAATCTCCGAAGTCATAGCAAAAAGGTTCATAAACCACGATCTAATAAACTTAAAGTGGGGTCCCCTTTTTCTCATAGAGTAGTCAATCATTAAAACGCCTTACGCGCACAAGTGGTATCAGCCACATCAGTGATTACTTTCAAGGAGAAGCTGGACCTTCATTGAAAAGCAATATGTCAGGATTAATATAGGTTCACCAACCTACTATCCTTATTACTGAAGACTGAAGTCTGTTTATGCCTCAACGGTGTTAACCCCGTTGAGGCTAATTAGCAAATGAAAGTAACATATTTCACGAGAACAGATGGCCATATGCTATAAGGATGATGTACCAACATAACTATGAAACATAGAGCAGCTATGTTTATTCTGTAACTATGGTTATATATATTAGTCTATGGACCATAAATTCTAGGTATGGGAATGTAATAATACATATTACTGTGCTGACTACTATAAAATATGGAAGGGCTTAGGAATAAGATAAACATATAGGATCATGAGGCATCCAAAGGAGACGGATAATATGAATAGGATGTAGAAACACACCAATTACTGATGCTCGAACAGCAACGCGACCTTGCGGTTAATAAACCACAGGTTAATAGATCAGAATTTAGTTGTTATAAACAAATAATTCAAACGGTTATGAACGAAATAGAACAAGCTTCCAACTGACAGGATTCCGTATCTAGTGGCAGTGAACCAACGATGTCTACAGGTAGAAACTTAAGTATATTTGTTGAGCAAAAGATAAATATTAGTAAATTATAATAAAACACTGTTCGAATGGTTCAAATGGTTGTGGACGGAATAGAAGAAGCTTTCGCTTAACAGGCTTCCGTGTCTAGTAGCAGGGGATCACCAAATCCTCCAGGCAGGAACCTAGGTATGTTAACAATAAAAGAGGAAAAGAAATTGGTAAATCATAGTGTGATGCTGTCCTTGGTCCTTAAGAATAGGTCAAGTTGCCTCTTGAAGGACTCCTGAGAAGTCGCTTGGACTAGCTCGGCCGGCAGCGAATTCCAGCTTTTGACAACTCTTAAGGAGTAGAAGTTGTGTCTACATTCCATCTTGCTATGTTGTGTTTCCAGTTTCTGGGTGTTAACCCTTAGGTTATTATTCGAACTAAGCATAAGTAGGTGTTTAAGAGGATATCCAGAAGTGTTAAGAATACTATAAGCCATTAATAAATCACCTCTAAGACGCCTATATTCTAGTGGGTAAAGGTCTAGTGAATAGAGGCGTTCTTCATAAGGCTTGAGTTTGAGTTCCAGAACTAATTTCGTGGCTCGCCGTTGGATACGTTCCAGAGTGTCCCTATCCTTTTGGAGTGGGAGAAGAAATATTATGTTTCCGTACTTTAAATGGGACAAGTGAAACTACTGAAAATTATGTGGAAAGTTCTCACGTCAAACTGGCCAAAAATGCTCTTCAATGTTACCAGTGCAAGGTCTGCTTGAAAGGCATTTTTGTCACAGTTAGCGTAAGACTTCAAACTGTAGGGTCGCCTATGTTGTAGCTGTAGTCTGCAACATGTCTCAGATGGACTATTTTACACTTTGAAGTGTTGGAGGTATGTCCGTTGTCGTCTGCCTAACTTAGAAGTCGAGTCAGATAGTTCTGCAGTGCCAGTATATCCTCGTGGTTGCGCCTCTTTCTCCAAATTTTCACATCATAAACAAAACGTGACTAGTCAGACGATATCTGTTGTGGAAGATCGTTTATATAAATCAAGAAAATCAGAGGTACTAGTACTAAACTCTGAAGGATCCCACCAGGACATAGCCTGAGAGAGATTGAAGTTAACCCTGACCCTAAGATGAAGTGAGCCGACCAATTAAAGGTAATTTGATACCCAATCGTTTGACCTTATTGATAAGACTTATGTGGCTGACCCTGTCGAAAGCTTTTGAGAAGTCAAGGTAAATGATGTCATCCGTTCCCTTGCGATCAAAGATGGTTGTCAATCTGTTCACCGCAGTCAGCAGTTTGGTTATGCAAGAATGACCCTTCCTGAAACCATGCTGTTGGGTGAAAAGAAGTTTAAGGATAATAAACAGTCGTGTTTACAGTCGTATATCAGGGACGCGATATTTTATGAAGGTATAGAGAGAAGAGCCTCCGGTTGGCAAATTGTAGGTTCGAATTACTTTGAAAATTGGTGTGATGTGAGCCAGCTTCTAAATTCCAGGTAATGTGTCTTGGCTAAGCGAACGTGATAACATTACGCTAAGCGGTGTTGCCAGAATTGAAGCTGTTCTCCTCAGTATAGTGGAATAAACCATATCCGGACCAGGAGAAGTGTCTATATTAGGTGTTGCAGTTTCCGGTACATCAAGTCAGCTCTCAGGTTCACTTCAGAAATTCCTGTGCAGTTACAGATGAAGTTTTCATCAATAAAGTTAATGTGCTCGGTCGAAATATCCGAGAATACTGTTCAGCCGTGAGATTAGCGGCATCACCGTCGTTGTTGGTCGGGCCTTTAGGACCTAGCAGTTGGGAAACTCTGATTTTAGCTTGTCGAAGAGAGCCGGCTTTTCGGATCAAGACAAATTTATAGATAAGCTTTATCTGCTACTGAAGCCTATCTTCTCTTGTTGCCTTTGTGCATATGTTACCTGTACGTTTTCATTGCCTGTAGACGCCGTTGTTACCGGTAGGTTTGTATTCCGCTCAGTAGTGCCTTTCGCAGCTTGGCAAACGAAGAGTGAGGTCCATGATGACTGTAGTTTGCCTGAAGATTTTGAGGACTATTTGGGGAATAGACTGCTTTGTAGAACATAAGATCGTGTGCAGTAAGAAATCCCAGCGTGACTCCACATCAAGTTACCTGTGAACACCCCAATCCACCTGTTGCAGATTGTCCTCTAAAGCTAACACATTCAAGTGTTTGGAATTCCAGCGCCTGTTATTGGTGGGATATCTTAGCTCAGTTTTGCTGATAAAACTGAAGGCTATGACGATATGATCGCTTTTCCCCAGGGGAACCAGGATTGAGAGGCTGTCAACTAGGAATTCTTCGTTTGTAAATACCCAGTCTAAGTGAGACGGTATTTGACTGTTTCCCCAACGAGTTGCCAACTTCACATTTTCGAATAATCCCAGATCCTAAATAAGGTTGAAGAACCGAGCTTCGGCAGAGTTTTCACTTTCAATAAAGGCGTGTTCCGTGAAATCGACTTTAGGATGATTGAAGTTCCCTAGGATCAGGATATGAGTGAACCCAAGACGAACCTAACATACGATTATCACACTCGATGTCACCAGTGGACTTTCTGTAGATGACCCCAACTGGACACTCGAACTGATAGACAATCTTACTGAACACCATACGGATTCATCAACATTGATAAACTCCTGGTTGTGCACCTGATGTACCTGCAGGAAAGATCGCAAGTATAAGGCTACTCCACCCCCAATTACTGTTTTTCTGTCATTGCAGAACAATGACATCCCGGGTACTGTTAGCTCCTAGTCCGTAAATTGAGATATCCATGTTTCAGATATTCGTATCAGGTAAGTATTATTAACAGTACTGACTTGATACGGCTTATCCATTTTACTCGGCGAACTCGCGGCGTTCATGTATAAACAGTGCATGCATTCAATTTGAAATGCGTAAGCTTCCCCATCCTGTTTATCTGTATGAACCTTTTGTAAATGGACAGGTAACCTACCTATATAAAGTTTTCCGAGTTGGTAGCGCCTATTCTTTCAACTTCGTTTTTGTGATTGTCACAGTCCACAAGTGGAATAATCAGCTCTAACTCTCCCTTGTGCATGATCCTGACGTAATGTGGCCTATCCGGATTATGGTTGGCAGCTGGCGTCTGTTGTCATGACATGCTTCCAGAGCTGCAGCCGCCATATGGGAGGATGGGAAGGTTCTTTCCGTCAACCGAGGTCTAAAGTTCCCGTCTTTCTTGGCTAGTCTCAACACTTGAGTTAATGTTTTTGAGCATCAAGGACTGCTTGATGAATTTCCACTCTCAAATATCAGAGTTTGTGTGGTCCATGTTTTTCGGTACACCTTGAATAACAATATTTCTTCCGCGAAAAAACTCGTAAGATTCCGTAGGAATGTGTTGGATGAGATTGCGCTTAAAATGCGATATATCAGGCAGTATCCTTTTATTCTCACTTTTTTAGTAAATGACAAGCCAGTAAGATATCCTCTACATCGGTAGCGTTAGTGAGCGTTACACAAAGTAGTTTTTGGTGATTTGTATGCTTATATTCCTTTCCTTTAGTAAGCCATATGGCCGTTAAAAGCTCTATTCTGTGACGTTATAACTTCTTGTTTAACTCCTCCCAGAGCATCCTGTAATCTTTCCTGCAGGTTGAGGGGAAGGTCAGGGCTGTCTTAAAGGTTCATGATTATGGGAGAATCATCACAAACCGTGATTGTTTTCTCAGGTTTTGGGGTACGTCCAGGTTGAGTAACTTGACGTTTGGTGGTTGAATTGGGTTTTAGATTCCTGTGCTCTTTGCTGACCCGTTGGACATCCTAGGGGTAGACCGTACAGCCGAATCACCAGTTGATTTCACCGTAATACTTGGGATATTCTGCTTCTTAGAAGGTGACACTCGGTTTTTTCTATTTGTTAATGGCGGTCCGATCGTCTACAGAATTTTCGGGAATCAAGTCTGTTGTTAGCAGTTACTGTAAAAGCTGTGCCTGCTTCGTGGAACCAACCCTTTCAATTGTCACATTGCATTTCAGGGGTGACAGCAGAACGGCATCCGTTTCACTTGTATGAATTCTTCGTAACCATGGTGATGTACATTTTTTATAGATCCTAGCAAACGTCTACGAACGTAAAAAAAACCGGATAAAATGGATTAAAAATGCGCTAGGTCAGAGTATATAGATGATAGCTTTAGAACAGTTGAAATAACTCTCTCATAGTTTGGGTACTTCGAAACAGTACTGTTGAGAGGGAGAGAGCTGGAAAATAATTTAGTGTCGCTTGCATTGTAGTGGTGTTAATCCAGGAGTTGTATAGCGCAGTAGTAATGACCAAGAATGTATCCGCTAAATATGACAACCATAGAAGTCAAGGGATTGAGCAAAACTAAAATGAGACAGTGATCAACAACCATAATGACACCGAAGAGTTGATCACAATCCAGAAATTGTAAACAACACAGTAATGATAGCACAATAATCATTGCCTTCAAACCAAAAGAACAACACTATGCGTGTAAATTTCAGATGGAAACAGAAGAAAAAATATATCTAAAGGAAACAAGGGAATAGTTATAGGAATAAAACATAAACAGAAGGGCTCTCTCACATATTATCGCCGGAATATACTAAATGTATTCTCTATGGATCACAATCTGCAAAGTCGTTTGGTTAAAAACCATCGGCTCCACTTTTGAAGCCTAATGATAATAATGGTAGTAATGCCTTCATTAATTGACCATGATGTATCAGCAACTTAAGTATTGTACTTGACATGAACTTATGTTAAGTGTTTTGCTCCAAAGCGCAATATGAGATGAATGTAATTATTTCTTCATGTAAAAGAACCTTACAGATTTCTGTCATCACATATCTCGTTATACATACAGAATATAGAGATGAAAGTAACGAT